TATATTGTTTTGACAAGATTACTATAGTTTCATTTAATACACAAAGATGTTACAAGAAATGAAATATTGAAAAAAAAGGTCTTTAGCAACCAGTAATTCATCCAACCGAGTCACCTTTTTTTGCTAAGTCATCCGCCATCGCAGTTGCCTACCTGTAGACGTGCTGAAAAGAAACTATCAATTAGCCACTAATATCCATGACTTCCATATATTTACTTCTCCCACTCCATGGTGTTAGAGTTTCTTTCGTGCACCAATTGATAATAATCATAGAATTACCTTCAATAACACAATACCAAATTTTAATTCGCGGAAGAAAAATACGCAATCCTTGAAGCATGGCTTCCATCCCCGCACAACTCGCTATTGTTATCCCACAAGGCCTTGCATAACATAAAATCACTTCATCATTTGAATTCCTTATAACCCTGCCATAAGTAGCAACTCCCGGATTCGCAAAGGAACTTCCATCAAAATTTAACTTTAAGGTTCCACTAATCAACGGCCTCCATATACTTCTTGTCTAAACCTTAATCATCCTTTAGCCGATCAACTCGCTATTGTTATCCCACAAGGCCTTGCATAACATAAAATCACTTCACCATTTGAATTCCTTATAACCCTGCTATAAATAGCAACTCCCGGATTCGCAAAGGAACTTCTATCAAAATTCAACTTTAGGGTTTCACTAACCAGCGGCCTCCGTACACTTCTTGTCTGAACCTTAATCATCCTATAACCGATCAAGTTAGAGAGATTGACTAAAACACCTACTTCTGTGGCTCCAAAACCCTATTTTGTTATTGAAAGCGAACTCCAAATATTATGAATGAACATTCGTTTCACCACACACATCTCAACTCCTCTACCTTCAAAGACTCTATAATTTCTCTCCTTCAATAAATCCTATAGCACCGCATCCTTAACAATCTGCCAAAATCATTTTCCCCACCTTGGATAGACTTCCACCATCCCACTATAAAAAAGATCGAAAACAATAGGCTTCGTAGTCCTTTTTTCCATGTGGCAGATGGGTAGAGTGACGCCAAATAAAAATTTAAAAATCTAAACAGGCTGCTCACATGAGATAGATGTGGAATTAAAAACTGTTAATTAAATATATTCAATTTCCAATATATTGCTGGACCGAGAACGCTATTAATACACTCAAAACCAAAATTCTTGTGTGTCGTTAGCATACAGATGCATCTGTAGCTGTAAAGGTAAGGTGTACACTCAAAATTTATCATGATATATAATTTTGATGTAAAATGTTGTTAGGATTATCTCAAAATTTAGTTTTATATTTAATTAAAAAATTTTAAATTTAAAAAATCGTTAAAATCAAGTAAATCTATAAACATATGAAAATCTTGAAAATGGCCGGTGTAGATAATATGTGGTAAAATGCGCTATTTTTGAGACAAAATCTTTTCATTTTTTATGGTCATACATCTCGATATCGAGAAGATCAATCAAAGGGTTTTCAACATTAAAACTACTTTTTTTTTCGATAGATTTTTGAGGTGCATCCGTAATTCTACATTATTATAAGGTTGCATCCTTATATAAACTTTTTCCAAAATTCTTCCCCTCTTTAACTTATTTGGCCAAGTTGCAATAACGGACACGCTCTCTCTAAGTTTCTCTCCCTACAGGTGTCCTATCATTATCAACACACTCCCTACAGGTGTCCAATTATTATCAACACACGCGATATTTCTTGAGTTTGAAAGTTTCCTAGATAAAAGATGCGAAGAGAGAGAAAGGAGATAGAGAAAACAGGGAGAAAAAGGAGAATAAAAAAGAGAAGATAGAGGTGACAAAACAACTGAGATTGAAAATGGAGAGAGAATATAAAAAATTAATAGAAGTGGAGAGAGAAAAAAGGGGGAGAAAGAGGAAAGATAAAATAGAAAAGGGTTGATTTGAAAAAAAAATTGATTTAAAATAAAAATAGAGAAGGGATAGAAATGGAGAAAGCAAGGAGAGAGTAGAGATAGAAAGGAAGAGATAAAAGAAAGAAGGGAGAGTAAAGATTAAAGAAAAGAGATATGAAAGAGGGTGGAGAGAGTAGATATTAGAGAGAGGAGAGATACAAGGAGAGATGAGACATGAAAGAAATGAGTAAAGAGACAAAAGAGGGATATAAAAGAGAGAACGAGGAGAGAGAGGTGAGAGTTGAAATTAAAAGAAACGAGTCAAAACAATGTCACGTTCACATGCGGCTCTTTTTTCTGTTTATTATGCAAAAACTGAAGAGGGGGAACCAATTTTCACGAAAGAGGAAATCTCAACTTTTTGCTCCCTTCCTTAACAAGCAATATGCCCATCTCCCTCCACCTTTTTTATCTGCAAAGCAATTGTCCTGTTGTTCCTGCCCAAGTTAGAGAGAGAAAAAGAGAGAGGGAGAGAGCTGTTGCTGCTCAAGTTAGAGAGAGAAAGAGAAAGAGGGAGAGAGCTATTGCTGCCTAAGTCAGAGAAAGAGAGATGCCCAAGTTAGAGAGTTAGAGATGAAAGAAAGACCTATGTAATCTTTTGTCAAGAAAATATAAATTTTTTTTTTTAATAATAATCACTCTTTATAATTTTGACAACAAGATGACTCACAGATGGTCTTGTTACAAACAATAAAAATTCCAAAAATAAATAACACATCAATAAAATAAATCTCAACTGCTTGATGCCATTCATACAACCTAATACTGTGCTTGAGAATATAAAATAAAAGAACAAACAATTAAAAAAAAAGAAGCTGAAGATTACCTCAACCGGGTTTTTTATACCCCATACTGAGTCACCACATCTAATGGCGCGGGATCAGGGGTCTAGCTTCAATCTTGAACCGGAAAAGCTAATTTCAGCCAAACTAAGTAACCACCCTTAAATCTCTACAAAACCTTAACTCCGAGAGTCTCAATGTTGGGACGTACCCCCTAAGGTCTTTTTAGGAGAGAGTATAGAGAGAGAAAATCATAGAGTAGAGAGAGAGGGGTGTGGCCTTAGGGAAGAGAGAGAGAGTTTATGGGAGAGAGAGGTGTGTAGAGATGGAGGGGAGAGCACCTCTATTATAGTGAAATTTAGGTCTAGGATTGCTTTAGGGTTTCCCATAGTTTTCCTATTTCTTGAGATTGAATATGAACCGTTGATCAATATGACTTGTGGGGTGAGAGATCTGAGCCATCCATTCCATAGATGGGCCATCAACATTATGGAAGGTGCATGAACCATTATCCCTCTTTCTTTAAACCATTTTCCCATCAATATATTTAAATAATTTAAATCCATTAAAGATATAGTACATACCATAAATTGTATATTCCATCTCATATTTTCCATAAGAATGATTGAATAATATCAAGTCAAGATATTCTTTCAATAATCAAGATAAGATATGGTCAATATTTCGTAATCAATATTTGACCATATGCTACAAGATATAGTTACCATATTTATAAACTTGAAGACAAAGCAACAAGCAAAGGTATCCAAGGGTGGGGCATGCCACCTATGTATGGTATGTGGGGCCCCACCTAATACCCACATGGTCAGCCCATATGTATTATGGGCTCCTATGCATTTTTTTTAATAAATATTTTAAAATTAAACATAATGAATTTTAAAACGTTATAACTTTATAAATTAATAACTTCATTTTTATAAGTCCAAAAATAAAATATCAAATGACTTATAAAAATTCAAATAATAAATCTAAAATAATTTAATAATAAAATGAATAAAATTAAATTAATATGATGAAAAGTGGATCCAAATGGTTTAGGAATTCAATCAACGATCACGGGGTCCTCCACCGTCAACTGTAGACTAAAGGCCACACTTGCTTTATCGAACCTACTCAGTGTTTTCTATGACCCACAGTCCAAACAGGGGCCCATTAGCGGGTCACCAAAGTCTGATCGATGAGCCAAGGAGTCACAATCCCAATCTATAGATTACAGGTCCACCCCTAGAGACAAGTCAAGGTCACCACGACCTGATGTGACTATAGCTTTATAGCGCATAGGGGTATCTCTCGCACATGCACATACTTCACCCAAAAGTAGATATTTAGGTTTCCTCGATTGATCTATCTATATGCATGCCGTGTGATGGAACATAGATGAGGTTTTGGCCCCTGTCTCTATAGGCCTACCATCACACATAAGGGTCACATAATCCCTTGACTCACTCATCTACACATAAGCTCCGACCTCATCAAGGGCTAACCCAAAAACCCTTCTCGGTTTATTTTTTATGCCTAGGTACCTTGGGCTTTTCCACCGACTGGCCTAGATCGTCAAGCACAGTCTGATATCGACAAATATCATTTTCTAAGTATGATCTTCGAGGGACCACACTCCCACTGAGTTTATGTTCCACTATAATAAATATTTTTCATTACACACTCATAAGGCCTTTAAAAGTCACATAAACCCAACATCTCCCACTTGGCCTTATATTCTCTCTTTCTCACTTTCTCTCATCCCCATCTCTCTCACATATTTTACAAAAACATTAGGGACAACTCCCTTAGTCAGAGGGTCTGCAATCATCAAATCTGTAGATATGTAGCTGATCTCGATCTCTTTCAATCTTACCTTATTTCTTAGGTGATAGAAGTATGACTTGATATGCTTGGAATTCTTGTGAAACCGAGGCTCCTTAGAGATACAGATAGCCGCCGTATTGTCGTAGAAAATTCACACCGCCTCACAATGTATAGGATGGAAATTAAGTTAATTAAGAAACTTCTTAATCCACATAGCCTCCTAAGCTGCTAGACAACATGCCACATATTCAGATTCCATGGTGGACAAAGCCACAATATCTTGTTTTTTTGACTTCCAAGAAATCGCACCCCCTCTAAGCATAAACACATACCCAGATGTAGACTTCGCATCATCTGGATCCGCGAGATAGCTTGTATCTAAATATCCCTATATTGCTATTTTAGTTCCCCCCTTATATGTGAGCGCATAGTTCATGGTCCGCTTTAAATATCTGAAAATTCTTTTTACTGCTTTCCAATACTCCTCTCATGGATTGCTTTGAAAACGGCTCACCAGACTCATGACGAAGGACAAGTCAGCTATTGTTCCTGTCATGACGTACATAATGGACCCAATTGCACTCTTGTATGACACTCTCTCCATGACTCTTATATCCATGTCTTCGGTAAGACACATTTTATTACTAAGCTTCATCTTTTTGTCAATTAGGGTTGACATGGGCTTACACATAACTCATATCAAACTTTTCTAGTATCCTCTTACAATAGGTTGCTTGAAAAAGTTGGATAGTCTTCTCTCTCCTATTTCTTATTTTCTTGATGCCCAACACAATATGAAGCTTCTCTAAGATCTTTTATATCGAAGTGTTGTGCAAGAAAATTTTTCGTCTCTAATACTAAGGGGCAATTGGGCTACTAACTATTAGCATATCATCCACATATAATGATATAAATACCACATCACTCCCACTGACCTTTTGATATATGCAATAATCCTCATTATTTGTAGAGAATCCTGCAAGAGCAAAGGGCTCTTGGAATTTTACGTACCACTGTCGCGATGTATGTTTTAGGCCATAAAGTGATTTATTAAGTTTGCATACAAGGTTCTATTTCCCTTTCTCCTCAAATCCCTCAGGTTGGGTCATGTAAATTTCTTCTTCTAAATCCCCATTTAGAAAGGCTGTTTTGACATCCATTTGATAAACCTCAAAATCAAAATGTGCTGCTATCGTTATAAGGATTCGGATGGATGGAAATTTAGTAACAGGGAAAAAAGTTTCATCATAATTTATCCCTTCTTTCTAGGTGAAACCCTTTGCAATCAACCTAGCTTTGTATTTTTTTATTTTCCCTTCAGAGTTCAACTTTTTCTTGAAAATCCACTTACAACCAATGACTTTACTTTTTTCAGGTAGGGGTACTAATTCTTGTCCATGGTTTTGGTTAATGGAAGCATACTCATCTTTCATGGCTTCTACCCAGTATTCCCTTTCAGGACAGGTCAAGGCTTCACGGTGAGTTCTAAGTTCTGAATCTGGATCTTCCCCAACCTTATCAAAATGTTTTCCAAGGTAGGCAAAATGTTCTAGGTAAAGCGGTGGTCTACTGACTTGGTTACTTCATCTTGGTTCACGTAAATGTTCACTTTCTTTAGGAAGTTCAGAAACAAGTTGGGTTGGTTTAGAAGTTTCAGGTTCATTGTCTCAAACTACATCCTTGTTTTTAGCCTCCTTATAAAAGTTGGCTTGTTTTCTACTCACCCTTGCTTCAAGGAACTCTTCCTCAAAGAAGTGAGCATCGTGGCTTTCAATAACCGTATCAGTTTCAAGATTGTAGAATCGATACCTCTTACCATGATCTGGGTAGCCAATGAAATGGATTTGACAGTTTTGGGTTGCAATTTGGTTTTATTTTGATATGGGTTAAGGACATGGGCTGAGCAACCCCAAACTTTCAGGTGTTCAAGGGAGGGAGTACGATCTGTGAAAATTTCGTGAGGAGTAAGTGGGGCAGCTTTTGTGGGAGTCCGGTTAAGGATGTAACATGCCGTTAATACGGCTTCTCCCCAAAACTTTAATGAGAGATTTACATGCCCCATCATACTTCTTACCATTTCCACTAAGGACCTATCCCTTCTCTCAGCTACACCATTTTGTTCAGGAGTATAAGGCATGATGTACTGATGGATGATCCCATTTTCAATGCACAATTCTTTAAAAAGGTCAGAGGAATATTCCCCCCCTCTATCGGTTCTAAGGACTTTAATTTTCAAGTTGGTTTGATTCTCTACTTGGGCCTTATAATCTTTGAATTTTTCTAGGGCTTCTAATTTTGCATGCATAAGGTACACATGGCCATATCCCAAGTGGTTATCTATAAAAGAGATAAAATATATTTTTTCACTTTTGGTGATCACATTCATAGGTCCACATATGTCACTATGAATGATTTCCAATACGCTAGTAGCTCTTTTTGCCCTTGTGATATTTTTCCTTATTAGTTTTCCTTACATACAAGATTCACACACTTTCGATAAATCTCCCTTATAATTATGAAGAAAGCCATCCCTTTTTAATCTTTCCATTCGTTTGATATTAATGTGTCCTAACCTCACATGCCATAGGGTAGCATCTAATTCATTAGGGGATGAGACATAACCAACGTTCTCTTTTATTTCAATAGTAAATAGCCCGTCTACAAGTCATCCAGTCATAATCACATTTTTTCCCTTATTGACCACTACTTTCTCCCCAATGAAAGTGGTTATGAATCCAGCCATAAACATCTTAGGAACCGAAACCCAGCACTTCCTCATATCAGGAGCATAAAGTGCTTGTTTTAAGATCAAGGTACTC